GAGGCTACAACAGATCCCTCAGTGCCCGACATGCGGACGACTTCACCGAGGCGAGTGTCGCTTTGGTCAGGATGTATGCTACTACTGTCACGAGCCCGGAAACTTCACGAATCGTTGTCCGAAGAAGGCGCAGCATCCTCAGCAGCCACCGCAGCAGCAGCAGCCCCGTCAGCAGGCACAGAGGCAGCCTCAGCAGCAGCAGCAGAGGGGCAGACAGCAGGCCCGAGTTTACGCCGTCGATCAGGCAGAGGCCGAGCAGCAGCCAGGTACCATGTCCGGAATGGTTGTTCTTAATAATGTTCCTGTGTTTGCTTTATTCGATACTGGAGCAACACATACTTTCATTTCACGACGATGTCTTGACGCCATCGGAGTTTGCGCTACTACCACTATCGATCCTCTTGAGGTGAGTTTGGCCTCGGGACGAAAGATAGTGACTTCAACTAAAGCTTCAGATCTTAGCCTTTCCATCGGTGGCCGAATATTGCCTACCGCCGCGTTTGTTCTCGAGATGAGGGACTTCGACCTTATTCTCGGAATGGATTGGCTATCCTTTTATCATGCGGATATCAGATTTCATGACCGGGAGATTACTCTTTATCTTCCGGGAGACGAGTCGATTACTTTCTTCGGCTCCAAGAATCATTCATTGCCTCATGTTGTTTCGATGGCGAAAGCCACTAAGTTGCTGCGACGAGGCAACTGCCAGGGTTATCTGGTGAGCCTTGTCGACGATTCTCAGAAAGCACGCTCACCTCACGATGTCCCAGTCGTTCGTGAGTTTGTGGATGTGTTCCCTGACGAGCTTCCAGGAGGACCGCCTAACCGGCAGGTGGAGTTCTTTATCGATCTCATTCAAGGAGCCGGTCCAGTATCCAAAGCCCCGTACCGTATGGCGCCAAAGGAGTTGCAGGAGCTTAAGACTCAGATTCAGGAGCTGTTATGACTCAGTTTCATCCGACCGAGCGTGTCACCTTGGGGAGCACCCGTTCTCTTTGTTAAGAAGAAGGACGGATCCATGCGCATGTGTATCGACTACC